CGGAGGCTGAGACGACCTGGACCTCAGCGGCCTGCGAGAACGGTGTTACCCATGGACTTCAACGACGAGATCGCCGTCGACATCTTCTATTTGTACGACCACGGCAAGATCAAGCGCTCTATCTTGTCAGTCATGGACCTGGCGTCGGGCTACCATGTTTGCAGGAAGATCCAGAGCAAGCTCTCTAAGGACCTGGCAGAGTTGGTGCGACAACTTTGGGAATGGGCCGGGATGCCCAAACGGTTAGTCTGCGATCAGGAGAGAGGATTTCAGAAAGACTTCGTCGACGAGATGGAGAACCGCGGGACCCAGGTGAAGTACATAGCGGGTCAAGCCCATTGGCAGCTGGGTCAACTGGAGCGTCAACAAGGATGGATGCGGACCGTGTGGGAAAAAGTGGTGGAGAGCGTCGACTATCAGGAGGCAGACTGGGCGTTGTTACAGGTGGTGCAGGCAAAGAACCATCTCAGGAGACGCCATGGATATTCCCCGGCCCAGTGGGCTCTTGGAGTACAACCGCGGATGGAAGATGGCCTTGCAGAAGGTGAAGCAGAACCCTTGCCAACGGACACGGTGGTGCGTGGAACAGGAAGCCATCTGCTGGCAGCCAACGACAAGGAGCAGGTCAATGGATTGGGCCGGGCACAGTGGTGGGCGCAGAAGGAGAATCGGTGTGGGTGTCGCGTCGCGGACGTTGCTTGTTATGTGCCAAGGAGCATCTACGACCAGCGGAGTCGGGCGAGTTGGGGACTCTTTTTCAGGTACAGTCCATGCAGCGAGACCTACGGCAACTCCTGGAACGGATGGATGATGAGGAGGTTGATGACGAGGAGATCTTTCACAAGGCCGACAACCTCATGGAGGAGAAGGACAGCGACGCCTTTCTGCGGCTGGCCAGAAGGAGTGCCTAGGAGGAGGATGCGTCAGAAGGGACCTATGCCCTTGGCAACAGAGGTGAAGCAGGCACCGGCGGAGGACGAGCCGGAGGAGGACTAGCTCCTGCCGGAGAAGAGATGGTCGGGATTGATTTCGAGCAGGATGAGTTGGGACTTCCAGATGAGGCTATGTGGACCTCACATCAGCGGACACCGAAGACCGTGGCGAAACAGCGAGACAAGGAGGTCGCTTGGAACGACATCCCCGACAGTGAGAAGAAGTTGTACCGTGTCCAGGCAGAGAAGAAACAATGGAGTACGCGGTACGCATTCTCTCGGAGGCGGAGAGCCAGGAGGTGGTAAAGAAGGTACACCCGTCCAGGATACTCAACTCCCGGTTCGCTTACAGGGACAAGAATGTGGCCAAAACAACGGGAAGATCCTGCTGTTCCCAAAGCCGAAAGCGAGGTTGTGCATCGATGGACACCGGGACCCTGATCTGACTGGTGGTGACATGGAGACGGAAGCGCCTACAGTGAGCAAGTCATCACTCTCAACGCTCTTCCTGATTGCGGCACAGGAGGATTGGGAGTTGGCGGCGGGAGATGTTCAGGCAGCCTTCTTGAACGGCGAGGAGTCTCAGCGAGGACTCTACATGCGGCAACCGGTACGAGGCCTACCGGGGATGCAACCAGGCCAGCTCGTAGAGGTGGTCAAGGGCATTTTTGGGCTTGCTACGTCCCCACGGCTCTGGTGGAAACGACTCGCCAAAGAGCTACTGGCGATGGACATCATCATCGACGGCAAGAAACTGGAGTTGGAACAACGTCCACTGGATAGCTGCTTCTTCTTGCTGAGGAATGCGAGTGGCGGATTGAATGGGGCCCTGGTGACTCATGTGGACGACATCCTGATTGTGGCGCCCTCAGAGGAGCTGGGACAGCTCAAGAAGAACCTGTCCGGGATCTCCGATCGCCGAGTGGGAGGACAAGGAGTTCGAGTATATCGGGTCTCAGGTCAAGCAGGTTGACGGTGTCATTGAGTCGGGACAAAGTCGAGGCTGGAGACCACGGACATGGTCAAGGAGTACGACCCAGATGAGCCTGCGGATGAAGTCACGAAGATGGACAATCAATCGGTGATCGGTGGTCTATCATGGCTGGCATCGCAGACGAGGCCAGACTTGCAAACCGGGGTGTCAATGGCTCAGAGAAAACAGCGCTCACCTACCTACGGAGACGTGAAGGAGACGAACAAGATCGTCAAGATGGCCCAAGAGTGCGAGGGAGAGGCGCTGAGGTACCAGAAGGTTGGCAATGGCAACTGGGACGACTTGGTCTTGCTGGTCTTCCATGACGCAGCTTGGGCCAATGCTCCAGAAGAACGAGCAGCAGACTTTCACAAGGATCACGGCAAGGAGGCGAACTTTGACAACAACAAGGTTGAGAAGCGCATCTACTCTCAGCTGGGCTACATCCTGGTAATCACACACCGGGACGTCTTGGAGGGTGAGAAGGAGAAGGCGGTGATATGCGATTGGAAATCGCATGCTTGCCAGAGGGTGCGCAGGAGTACATTTGCGGCAGAAACAATGGCAGCACTGGAGGGCATTGAAGATGCTATGGCGTTTCGGGCAAGCTTGGCAGGTGCTCTCAGACGGGGCGGACTAGATGAGGGCTCGTGCCGAGACGTCATCCCGATCGTTCCACTCACGGACTGCCGGTCACTATACGATGCCATCAAGCGTGAAGGAGGACCCAGAGCACCCTCAGAGAAGCGCCTCCTGATTGATTTGTCGGCATTGCGTCAGCTACTTGATGGAGAATTCGCTCGTTGCAAACAATTGGGCTGGCGCACCACAATGCGTTGGATACCCACCACCTATCAGCTTGCAGACCTGCTGACGAAGGTCAAGAGATCTACTGGTGCAACTCCCTTTCCGTCCCAAGGGGGCATAAAATTTTGGGAATGTCAAATGAATATCGCCCGATTGCCCTTTGTGTGTCTCAAGGCATTTTGTCATCAATAACCACTTGCAAGTGGACATGTGGTAAAACAGATCCTTTGCGCGCCGCCGCTGGACGTGATCTCGGGCATTTGCATGTCCTATAAGGTTGATTGCGCGGGCGGCTTGGGCTTTAGAATTGGTTGCGGCGGGGCGAGGGCTTGGCTTGCATTGGTTGTGAACTCAAACTGGTTTGGGCTTGTTTCAACGTTGTTTTCGGGTTGGTCTGGGATTTGGTTTCTCAGTAGGACGGTGTTGGGCAGGCGTTCAGAGCCAGCCTGCGGGGTTGATATTTAGGATAGGCGTGGAGTGTGCCAGAAAGCCGGGCAAACGTTGAACAATTGGACACGAACACGCACACACAAACACACAAACACACAAACACACAAACCCACAAACCCACAAGCGCACAAGCGCACAAGCGCACAAGCGCACAAGCGCACAAGCGCACAAGCGCACAAACGCACAAACACAAACGCACAAACGCACAAACGCACAAACGCACAAAGGCACAAACGCACAACCGCACAACCGCACAAACGCACAAACCCACAAACACACAAACACACAAACACACCAACACACAAACACACCAACACACAAACGCACAAAAGCACAAACGCACAAACACACAAAATCACAAACGCACAAACGCACAAACGCACAGTCGCACAAACGCGCAAACGCGCAAACGCACAAAACGCACAAACGCACAAACGCACAAAGGCACAAACGCACAACCGCACAACCGCACAAACGCACAAACCCACAAACACACAAACACACAAACACACCAACACACAAACACACCAACACACAAACGCACAAAAGCACAAACGCACAAACACACAAAATCACAAACGCACAAACGCACAAACGCACAGTCGCACAAACGCGCAAACGCGCAAACGCACAAAACGCAAAAACGCACAAACGCACAAACGCACAATCGCACAAACGCGCAAACGCGCAAACGCGCAAACGCACAAAACGCACAAACGCACAAACGCACAAACGCACAAACACACAAACACACAAACACGCAAACACACAAATACACAAACACACAAACACACAAACACACAAACACACAAACACACGCACGCACACGCACGCACACGCACACACACGCACACACACACACACACACAACCACACAAATACACACAAACACACACACACAAATCACACACACAAACACACACACACAAACACACACAAACACAAACACAAACACAAACACAAACACACGCACACACACGAACACACACAAACACACACAAACACACACACAAACACACACACACACACACACACACACACACACACACACACACACACACACACACACACACACACACACACAACACACACACACACACACACACACACACACACACACACACACACACACACACACACACACACACACACACACACACCACACACACACACACACACACACACACACACACACACACACACACACACACACACACACACACACACAACACACTCACAAACAAACACACACACACACACACACACACACACACACACACACACACACACACACACACACACACACACACACACACACACACACACACACACACACACACACACACACACACACAAACACACACACACACACACACACACACACACACACACACACACACACACACACACACACACACACACACACACATACACACACAGACACACACACATCCACACACACCCACACACGCACACTCAGCGTTGGGCTGGGAAGAATGCAGCCCAGTGCGCTTTCAACAGAGGATGCTTGAACCCACGTCAGCAACAGTGCCTGTGCCGCAAGAACTGACTTGCCCAAACAACACTTTATGCACTGGACCCATGCCGCCTTCCATGGACCTGCGGCTCCAGCATGTTCCATCTCGCACAAATAGACGCGAAAAGTTTCGGCACGGTCACATTCCTCTTGCCCCTTTTGAACTAAGCCCGCTGCTTTACTGCAATGGTCTTGTGTGATTTTGCCACACGTTTGCGCTGGCAGTTGCTATTCCCCAGAAATGGAAGAGCGCCATCAGCGCAAAGAAAGAAAACGGAGGCCGAACGAACGGCGTGTGCACCTGCAGGTGGTGCATGGCCTGGGGCCAAGCAAGGCCCCGCTGGCAGGCGCGGCAGGCTGCGTTGCGGGAGAAGTCGTTGGGCCGTGGGCCCTGAACGGCCATGGCCTGCCGAACATATCTTCCACCGCAACCATTCATTCAAAGGCACCGCAACCACGCAAGGCAACAAACATCCGGAACCAGCCTAGTTTGCCTCTCAAACCGAGGTGTCCGCTTAGTTTTGCATGTTGGACCGGTGCCTACCGCGTTTAGAGGCATTTAGATGGCCCTTATTGAAACTAAAATAACAAGTCGATGCCTTGTCCGAATGTCAGGAGTCGCGCCTGGATTCTGGGCCCAGTGTTGCAAAACCTACATTATGAATCACGGTGTCCCAAACAATCAGGGAGCGAAAGTTTTCTTTTTGGGTTCCGTTTCTCTCAAAGGCTTTTCCAAGCCCGGTTGATGGATCCATCGGTTTCCTGCAGCAGGAGGCCCACTCGGCGCCACTGGGCGCCCTCCGCGCAGGCGCTGCAGCCCGCTGAGCAGCTCAGGACGTTGAGCCGCAGCCCCGCGTGGCCTCGCGCCGATTGGAAATGGGGCGTCCAAGAAACAAGTTTGGAGCTTCCATTTTGAAGCCAAGAACCTAGAAAGCCTAACTTACCATTCCTTTGCCATCTGCATCCGCACTGTTCGATGAGCACCTCTGCGCCTACGTTAGGCTTCGGCTTAGGGTGTGCCATTGCGCCCCTCTTGGGCCAAGCTCTTCGCCAAGGCCCTAGCCAAGGCCCGGTCATCTGGCACCTGTTTGCGGGCATATTGCGCTACTTTTCAGTGCTCCTCGCTCGGGCGTTTGCTGCGCCCTCTGTTGCAGGCTCCCTTCGTGATGCGATCTACGCGAGCACCGTGCAGACTTCCCGTATCAGGCTGCTCTGAACCGCGGTGTGGAGCTGGAGGCGCTGATCTTGGATTTGCGTGTGCGGCTCCGCAGGCAAGAGCTGGGTTTGAGTTGGCTGGGGGTCTTGAGGCTGCTCCTTTGCGCAGCTCCAGCGCCCATTCCTTCTTGAGGCCTTGCTCCATCCGCAGCGCCTCATCTGCGGCAAAGCCACGTCTGCCACTCCCGCAACTTCTTTGCGCATCACACTACCGTGGCGACGGGGTGTGCGTTGCTCTGCTTCCATTTCAGCGGTGCGAGTGCGGCATCGGCGGCCGTTTTGGCCTGGCCGCTCGCTGTGGGGCGAGGCGCCCCCTTCATCTTCCATGCCTCGCAGGCTGAGTCCGTCGCCGGACGGCGCGTGGTCTGAGAGTACGCAACATTGTGTCCTCCCTTGCAGTTCACTGGTCCGTGCTGTGCGATGGATGTCGAGCCGACGAGCGGGTAGAACCCGCTACTGACGTCCCTTGACAGAGCGCCACCTGTCTTTGGCCCTTTCCTTGACGAGTCGCAACCACGAGGATGGCCAGCCTGTCGCAGAATCTGGAGATGCGGCAGCCAGCAAGCAGCGCTCCTCGTAGAAAGCCTTCGTCGAAATCATCAGCACGCTCGCCGACAAAGCCAAGAAGGCCTTGAACAACTCGTGGGGAAGCGACGCGACCGGGCGTTGGATTGGGAAAGAGGGCTGCCGCATGGCACAGGAAGACACAGACGAGCTCATCCAAGATGCCAACAACTCCCCACGACCCGTAAGTTCGGCGAACAATGCTCGCCCCAGACTCAGGCTGTGGCGTGCTGGCATCCCAGGCATCTGAATGCTGGGGCACATGTAAGCCCATCCGTGCGGACGGGCAAGCCCCGCAAGCTCAGAGCTCTCATGTTGGGCTGTTGTTGCAAGGCGGAGTCCCTACCTCACGAGCTCGTTGAGCAGAAGCAAGCCATGTCATCGATGACTTTCCAAGGTTTCCAAAGGAGTTGAAGCTGACGGTGTGAAGAGGATCGTTTGGACCTTTCGGGTCTGGCCCTTGATCCTAATCGCGCTTCGCGTGGTCTGCTGGGCTGGAACGCTGAACCGGTCATGGATCACCATCCTCATGCTGCTCAGACGCCTGATGTCCCCGGCGGTGGGCCAATGTGATCCGACTCTTGTAGTCTCAAGGTCAAACTTTTGACCTTCCGCATCTTGGGCTTGCTGGAACTGGGCTACAAATGCCTCATCTTAGGGCATGGCATTTCGTGGCTCGTGGGCTAAGCTGCTGCCTGAGGGAGAAAGGACTGTGGTGTCGTTGACGAACTAGGCAACAACATCGCCGCGGGGTCCACCAACGTCGGGGGAATTCGCGCCTGCCTTTGCGAGGAGGCTCGTGAGGAAGAGCGTTGTAGGGCCTTTTTGCCCCAACAAAAAGACTGCTCCCGCCGATCCATTACCATGTTGTTTTTCGGAGGTGACGTCTACGGCTTCTACATGCCCTAACCCCCTTGCTGAACAGAGCTGGTGGGCCCACCCGTGGAACCCGGACTTGTGTTGGACAGCTTTGACATCCAAATTGATGTAGGGGGTGCCTAACCGGTGGCTCAAACCCTTGGGCCCCCACCACTGGAGATGACGATGAGCCCGTCGAAGCCAAATCCCAGCGTCTGCTAAAACGCGAGCACCGGTCCTTCGCTCCTTCGCCGCAGCGGCAATGCTTTGCAACGAAGAGCTAGGGAAGCACGTGAAGCGCCTGCTCTGCCCGCTCATCCCGGCCCTCTGCTTTGCGCCGGCCCTTTGCCCTCTTTTCTGAACAGCCCTCGTCCTCTTTTCTGGGCGCGGAGTCTTTGGCTTGGAACGGAGCGCCCTGGGTCATCACCTTCGAAGGGAGGGAGTTGTAGCGTCGGATCAAGCTGGCAGGGGGCAATTCCAACTGCGCGGCGCATCGGCAGAGCACAGACGCTCGTTGCTGAATAGGGAGAGCTTTTCGCCATTGCCTGCGGGCGGTCCAACGCGAAGAAGCTAAACATTGTTGCACGCCGTTGTTGCGGGGGCAGGATAAGAAAGGCTGGAAATCCGGGGCCACGCAAACGCAGAGAGCGCGACCATAGCTTTGGGAGAACGATGTTGGGGAACTTCCTTGCTTGGGCATCCGGAACCATCGTGAATTGCATCTTGCGGGAGCTATTGGGAAGAGTTCATCTCTTTCTGGCAGGTTCGGCGACCTTGAGTTTCAGAGAGGTGGACCTTTGGTTTGTTTCAGTAAAGTTTCCTATGTTCAAGCAGCTGGGCACGTTTGCTGGAAACCCTCCTCTCGATGGGTGAAAGTTGAGCCGGTGAAGCATCGGGCTCCCATCCCCTTGCCCGTGTTGAAAACCACGATGTCCCTGGCTTGGTTCTCGACTCCTGGCTTGGCTCTCGACTGAAAGAGGTGGGGCGCTTGCGCCCTTCTATCTTTCCTGCGCGCGCCGTGATCTGCTCGCGACTTCCTCGAAGGTGACAACGGCACTGCCTTCCTGCTCCTGAAATCGTCGAAGATGCACCGGACATCCGCCCGCGTTCAGCATATGAAGTGAACAGAACGGCAGGCAACCATGCCCGACCAGGTCTACCCTGCGGCCCCCCAGGATGAGCCTCTGTGTGGGCATATCTTCGGCCGCCTTCAAAATTGGTGACACGCTTCCCGAGCTGGCGCGCCCATTCAGGACATCTTATGGCGCGTGCGGATTCGCCACATTGGCGATTGAGAGCTACCTGCAAAAGGTCGCCGCTCTTCATGCCAATCATGGTTTTTCAAGCGTTTCTCTTCGCCCGACCCAGTCTGCCGTTGCGGTCTCCCTAACCGTGCTGCCCATCCTCGCGAACCTCGAGCGTCTGTTTTGTGCGTGGATGAGTGGTCGGAGCTTCTGTGTGCGTTGCAAGCACTTCGCGCCCCTCTTTGGCGGCTTCGCCTTTGGAACCTCTTGGCCACGCCCACGCAGACCTTCTCAGGCCTTGAGGGCGCTGATGAAAACAGCGTTGCGGGGAAGGTGGGGCTTTGGATGTCTATGATGATTCACCCTGGCAAAGACGCTAAAAGCTTGAAACTTGGCCTCGCCTGTCTTTCAACTCCATGCAAACTTGGGATCCCAAGGCGGTTTCTCCAAACTCCGCCAAAAAACAAAGGCAACACATAGTCAGAACACGTCGCGATTTCATTCCACACATTCGAAAGACGTCGCCATGGAACCTGCTTCCACAAGGAGCTGCAGCGCCAAGCTCCAGCGCTGCACCTGGACATTCGTATTACAAGTATCGCCGGAAAAACTGAGATGAACAACTCAAACTGGCAAACGGGTTCTGTAGAAATGGGTGTTTTCCAGGATCTATGAAAGTGCTGGGGGTGCCGTTGTGCTGTGCTTTGTTCGTGATCTGAATCCTCGTGCGCACGGACAGTTCTGTATTCAGACAAGGGTTCGCAGCATCCCGCCGTGAAACTACATCAATGAAACAATCTTGCCCAAGCACAGTCAGCACATGTGTAACACTTTTGTGCATCTCTCAGGCTGTAGTCCGCCAAAAGCTTTCCCTCGCAGCCATTCTCCGAACGATTTGCATCCGGCGCTTCAGTCCTATGCAAAAGTCTAATGAAAAGGCAGTATCAGCATCCTCATTCTCGTCCTCGTCCTCACAACGAAATTATCATCACCATCATCATCATCATAACCATCATCATCATCTTCATCATCAGCATCATCATCATCATCATCATCATCATCATCATCATCAATGTGCGTGTGTGTGTATGTGTGCGTAGAGTGAGGAAGTCGCTGTGAATGTTTTGATACGACATGCGTATCGTTTGTCTGACAGAACGTCTTTCCTCTGGCCTTCGACAGCGGTCTTAAGACTCACACGGCCACACGCTAGTTTATGGTTGTGTGGTGGTCGTGGTGTCGGCGGGTATCATCTTGGAGGGACAGTTACTTCGCCTGTAGGAGCGAATTTGCCACCGGCAGCAACACGTCTGTGCCATGACCCATCAACTAAACCCCAAACAGAACTAAAGACATCTAGATTTGTCCTTTTGAAAATAGATACCCATGCCCCGCATGGTCGGCACTGTACCTATCAGTGCGTTAGTCCGTGTGTTTGCCCACGCACGTTTGTGCGTGCGTGTTTGTGTGTGTGCGTGTGTCTGCATGCGTGGGTGTGCGCGTGTGTGGGATTGTGTGCGCGTTGTGGTTGCGTGCGTGGTTGTGCGTGTGCGCGCGCGTGCGTTCAACTTTCGCTTCTGCTTTCCTGCTCGTCACGCAGCCGCCGGAGCGTTGCGACTTTTGAGAGACGCAGCCACCGGAGAAAACCGCCGCCTCTACACCACCAGGAGTACCACACATGAAAGGTCCAGCAGAAGATGAAGCACCACTAGATCAAGAACAACACAAGAAATACAGGCGGCTTATTGGCAAAATACGATGGCTAGCATACACACGACCAGACATCAGCTATGGAGCAAACGGGCTAGCAAGATCACTACAAGCGCCAACACAACTTGACAACAAGAAGCTCAAGCACATGATCAGATACCTTAAAGGAACAAGGTACTCGCGACACAACCTGCGACCAAAGATACAAACACAGGACAAACGAATTCCATTCCACATTGACACATAGACAGATGCCAACTGGGCTTCATGTGAGACAACAAGGAAAAGCACAACAGGATTTGTACTGTACCTCTTTGGAGCAGCAGTACGTTATGGCTTGACGAATGCCGTTCTGCGTAAAGACCCCCTCGATATGCGGGACAGAGTACAAAGTGCGGGGCAAGTTGTCCGGGGGGTTGTCCGGAAGGTTGTCCGGAGGGTTGTCCGGAGGGTTGTCCGCGCACTTTGCCGAGATTTATGATCCAAACCCCCCCCTCCCGCGAGAATACCGAGTGGTTTCCGAGTGGTTTCCGAGTGGTTTCCGAGTGGTTTGGCGTGTTCCAAACCTGTCCGAAGGAAGACTTGTCCGGGGGTTGTCTCGGGTTCTTGGGCCCTCAAAGCTGTCCGGAGGGTTGTCCGGGGTTTGTCCGGGGGTTTGTCCCGCGCTTTTGGGCCCTCAGGGTTGTCCGGGTTTGTTCGGGGGTTCTGTCCGGAGGGTTGTCCGGGGGCTTGTCCGTGGTCTGGAGGGTTGTCCGGGAGTTTGTCCGGGTTTGGAAGCCCGTTTGGACCCACAATGTCAAAACAGGTGTTTATGCAGAACCGCCTCTGTCAACATATCGAACACTAAAAACATCACATCACCTGTCTTTTTTGTTGGGGCCGAATGGTAACAATGATGGTGACCCAACATGAACCATGGGAAGAGATGGGTGGAGATAATGAATAGCGCTAGTGGATAGGCAATAGTACATATGATTACACAGTCTGAGATTCCACACGTAGAAGCAAAAGAAATCGGCTGTTGAAAGTCACTTGTTGGTCACGACTCTTCGAGCCCTTCGCAATCAAGTTCAACCCCGTTTCAATGTTGATTCATCCAGGACAAAACCTGCGCTCTAAGGTGAACTGTCTCCGAGAACAGCATCAGTTCAGAAAGTTGGGGTGTCAGCAAAACGAGCGCCGTGCGTGAAACTGCTGCCAAGCCTTTTCTGCAGAGGAGCTGGCCGCGGTGTGGGTGACGATGTTGGTCTGCAGGCGCTGAGGCTCGATGGGAATGCGAGCTTCAGTTGTTAGCAAAATGTTAATCCAAACCGCAGACCCTTTCCACAAGGGCAAACTACCTTGGCTTTCCAATACTTGTTGCCCCTGAACATAGGAAAGTGTTTGTTCTAAAAGGTCAACTGATGGCTGTGCCACATGTCGTGACCCAGGAAATCTAAACCATCTTTACGTAGAAGTTGCTGGGTCTACCATTCACTTGCGACACACTTTTGCCGAGCACGTGCGACGCAAAACGCCCCCTAACTTTTTGCCGATCACTTGCGGCACAACTCGCTCAAGGTACTGCGCCTGCCGCAAAACCCAGCTCCAGAAGCGAGCCCTCGCGGAGACAAAGTCGCTCAAAGTACCGCGCCTGCCACAAAATCCAGCTCCAGAAGCGCACTCTTGCAGGAGGGTTCGCCGAGCGCGATAAACATTCACGCGGCGCCAGCGCCACGGCGAGAGCATTTCGACATGTGCAATCTGCGCAGAGGGCTCACCAACGCGCACGGCGCCACAGCGAGAATGTTCGACGTGTAAATTCCGCAACTGGTTCATCCAGCTCAAGAAGCATTTATGCAGCGCCACGGCGAGAGCGCTTTGACACGGACATAGGGGCTCAAGAAACATTCGCGCGGCGCCGTGGTGAGAGTCACCGCATAGGGTTCGCCGAGCTTGGTAAGCATTCGCACGGCGCCACCGAGAGAGCGGGAGAGAGAGGGAGCGCTTCGACACGCACAATTCTGGCAAAGGAAAGTGCGTGACAAGCGACGAGAAAAAGCGCGTCAAATGAAACCAGAACATGCCCGCCACAAGCGAAAGCCTCTTCGTGGCGAGAACAGAAGATACCCGGCAAAGAGCCTGCCACCCAACGGATTCAAAACGCAAAGGGCACATGATGTAATTTGCTGCGCGGACTCCATTTTTGTGAACTTCATCCCGGAACTGCCAATCTTCATGAAACATTTTCTCCGAGCCTTTCGTGGTTTCAGCGCCGTTTACTTTTACATCATGAAAAGCGTCAGCACCGCTGCAGCAAAAAACGAGACTTGTCAGTACTATCGGCTTCCTCTGCGTGGGACCATGCGTCCACCAGAAAGCCAAAAAAGCAGGTGTTTAATCCTCTACGAGCCCCCTTAAGGTTTGCCTGCGCGTGTGACTTCGGCCTTCGGGTCTTGGCCGGAAAAAACAAATCACTTGCTTCCCCAAAAAAGCCTTGATACATGTCCGACGTGCGGTTTCGGTTTTCGGCACGCCTGGAGCTGCTGGGTTCGGGCCAGGCGCAGGTGGCCTACCGCCTCAGTCCAGCGGAAGCCGCTGGACCAGGCGCTCACGCCGCAGCTGAAGCTCTGCACGTTGGGCCGCAGGCCCTCGTCGAATTTCGAAAAGCGAGCAAAGCAAAGCTCAAAAGAGATGGGACATTGGGAAGGACCTCGCGTTCGGACCCTGGAAAATGGTTGGATTGGTTTCTTTTGCTCGCCCGAAACTACTAGCCAAAGGAGCTTTCGAATTTTCAGCGAAGACTCGAATCAAGGGGTTCTTGATTCAATCAGAAGATGGTTGGGGAAAGCGCTGGCAACAAAACGGCTGGAGCTTCCACACACAGCCACACAAGAGGCCTCGTCCTCACGTATGAAAATGCGCAGTGGGCATCCCCGAAACCTCTGAGTTTCTGTGGGGGGTGGCCGCATGTCCTCGGGTCTCAAAATACAACACCAAAAACAAAAAAGCCACGCAAGAGAAAAAAGGCCACATCCATGGTGACCTTTTGATAAACCCAGCGCGCATCTTCAATCACCAACAGGCTTGTGATCTTGAAACAAAGAGGTCAGAGGAAAAGGTTGGCGGCCTTCAAAGATCATTGCGAAACGAAATTCGGAACTGCCAAAGCGGGGTCGTTGCGTCAAACAGTGATAGTTTTTAGAACAACTCGCGTTGTGTAAAAATGACGCTCGTGAGAAACAAGTACGCTAACTAACCCCAGATTGAATATGCAAAAAGAAAGAATCTGCTCCAGCAAGCTAGCTAAGCATGTTTGTTTTCTATGTTTGGGTGAAATTTGGCATCTAAATTCGACCACCCCTTCTGGTGTGTTCAATAGCCGGATCGCAAAAACAAGGACCTGCGCACAGTTTTCGGTGGCTCCGCACAGGGCGTGGGAACTCAACTTTGGACGTCGCCTCCTCGGCGAGGCGCCGCGCCAATTGCAGCGCCTGAGCCCAGCGGCTCCGACGCTCGCAAGCGGACAGCGCGGCGCTGCAGGCCACGAGCTGCTGCTGGCGAAGTGGCAGGCAAATACTTTGAGCGGCGCCGAAAAACCTATTGACCTTGGTACTACCAAAAAAACATTGATTCAGAATTTGGCAAAAGTACACCTTCAGTGGAGAGCCCGCCCACCAGCAAACGGCTGAGGGCGCGACTGAGACCGCGTAGAATGTGAAAATGAAAGCCGCCAAAACCCACTTTCGACTTGGAATTATCTAACTGGCGGCCTCCTTGTCCTCGTTCATCCCCATTAGACCTGGCTCTACGAGACACGCCAACAAATGCCATCTGAAAGAACGCTAGGAAGCGCGAGTCAGGCGTTTGTGAGCGTCAGTCGTTTTAGCAAACGAAAACAACACGGGCCGGGTCAAAACACGCACTGCTTGAGTACAAGAGCAGAATGCCATGGTGAAGAACAGTCTTCAGTACAAACAATACGACCTGTTCAAACTCAACCTCACGCTCCAATAGGGCCAAGATATGCAATTGGGCGGGCGCGACAGCCACTAAAAAACATGCAAAATGACGTTCGAGTGTTACCAAAACACGAACATCCCTCCACTCACCGAGCGCTGTCAGGATGGCGACGCAGCTGGGAGGGCCCAAGACCCAGATCCCTGACAGCGCCCAGTTTGCACCCTGACTGTGCCAAAATTGGATCCACATCGGCAGCTTACAGTAAGTCGTGCAATAGAACGAGCAGCGTGCCGAGGCTTGCGGCAAATCACAACAAAGCGGCCGGCCACGCTTTTTTTCGGCTGGGAGCAAAAAGTAAACGGCATAATTTCCTGACTTGACGACAACGCTGAGCGGGCGCGCAGCGCTGCCTAATTGCGAGCTTCGCCAGCGCCAGAGTGACCAGCTGCGTCGGCTCAGCCGGTTTGCAGGCGCTGTTGCCATTGCTCCAAATGCTGAGCATCATTGTGACAAGAATCGAGCTCTATGTAAGCCCATCCTCGGTTGGGAAGTAACTGCGTCGGCCAAGGAGTCGCACACTCCGTGTACGCGCAATCCCGCATCATTATTTTTATAAGAAATGAGCCGAATATCTGACAAGAGCTGTTTGGCCCCAGCTGCGCAGCAGGTACTTACGTCTCGTTCTTCCTCAGTCTGTTGACCTCACCTGGCCGCGGGCTGAACCGCGTGCTGGAGCAAAGAGACAAAGACGTGGCTCAGTTCAGCTCCTGCGCAGCATTGCCAGCAGCTTGGAAGGGGCGTCCTACTCCCCATGCGTTCAGGCTACGCTCACTCCCTCCTGCACATGATTAGCCGCACGCCCAGCATCTCAAAAAGCGTCCGATTCCCGGCTATCTGGCCGTATGCCTGAGCCTGCATGCCCGGCGAAACGGGCCAGGTCGATTCACATGCCTGCGAAACAAGGGGAACAGAAAACCCAAATAACAACATGAAACCCTTCGCTTCTCTGGCAATGGTAGATGTGCCTGGAGCAACACTGGCAACCCTGCTTCAGCCAAAAATGTCGCATGTCTCAACATGTCTCTGGCAACGCTCCGCATAGCTAGGATGACGGTGTTGCCCCGACGCGGCAACAAATTGAACAGCCGACGCTGTTTTAGAGCAAAACAATGAACAGCAATGTGGGGGCGAGGGGACACCACGCTAGATGTTCTGGACATTGCGCCATTTGAGTGGACGAACTTCAGCAACCTTCTGCGGCCGACAAAGCAACGCTCGCGAACCATTCAACATCGGGAAACGGATTGCACGGTGGCGTGAATAGCCTTGCCTTTGGCTGCTTTGCCAGGGGCCGCGCAAAATCTAGCAGCCATAGGGCACGCTGCCAAAAGGCAGCTTCCTAGGGCAACGCTTGTCTGTTCGGCAAGAGGGAGGAAAGTGGGCACAAGCCTTGAAAAACAATGAGAAAACAAGTACCCTCTAACAACAAGCGCGCAGGCCATTGTCATACCTCGGAGACGCCCTTTGCAAGCTGCTGGCCTTCGCAAACGCTGCAACACGAAACAATTGGCCGCAACTGGCGCTAATGGCAATAAAAGTCAGGGCCAAAATGGCCCCCAAAGGAACTTGGTGCATTCTAGAACAACAATCCAATCTCTCTCTCTGCCTCTCTCTGTCTCTCTCTCTCTCTCTCTCTCTCTCTCTCTCTCTCTCTCTCTCTCTCTCTCTGTCTGTCACACAGACATGCGCACGCCACAAGCCGCGGTTGCAAAGCTTTTCTGCAAAGATCCAACGGTGAGCGCCAAATGAGATAGTCCTTAATTGGTGTGTCTGTGGTCAAGTCTTTATGTTGGTTAGGTTACCATGTTACAATGAAAGACAGCAGATTTCTACGTTAAAGATAAGATGAATGAAGGAATATGTATTTATAATGCAAAGATAAGTATTAGATAGTGAAGGAAGATAATATGAACTGACCATAAGATAGTAAACATTCCATAACTTCAAATCCAGATATTAAACCAAAAGTAGGAGACAAAAAGCTTGTACAACTATGAAAGACAAGAAAGATGAAAAGAGACAAGTAAAATATAGAAGATTTCTTCTCTCCGCTACCTTTCGTTCGCTGCAATGAAAGCTGCAGACTGTTCCACCAATAAATTACTTTTTGAGAATTACCCATCTGCCCTGGGGCGCAAAGGCCCAAACGAGCCACGCGCAGATATGAGTGAATGCACAACTATGCGTACTCCCAGTGCCGGAATCCAAGATCTCACCAACTTTGGGCCTTCTCGAGATTTTACCCACGCAGGCCCCGCCTGACAAGCACTGATTGCGCTCCCCACCAGCCCGTGATCCAGCAGGCGGCGGTCGTTGGCCTCCATGAAGAGATCCAGGATCCTGGCGGAGCCAAGGAGCTTCAACATGGCACGCTTTCATCGGCCGATTTGCCAAGAAACGCGTTCGCCGACGCAAATCAAATTCGCCCATCAACTTGTACCCCAGCTGCTTGCCAGCAAAACACTGCCAACGGTTTCTCCTGGAGCTGTAGGTCCCCAACACCCGGGCAGCCCACAGCCAAACCCAAGAAGGGAGCAGAGCGCGCGCCTACCGAAGCAGGCGAACAAGAGCACGCGTTGCGAAGAGAGGCACGCTGACGCAGACACGAAGAACAAAGCCGGTGCATGCTAGTCTGCAGCGACAGCCAAACAAGCAAATTGGATGTATTGAAATCGCTACGCGATCCGCCGACGCCAGTGGACAGTCCCTATTAATAAACTGGGGCATGTGAGGAATGCTGGGAATGCAGCCGGCTAGCCACAAAAAAGTGCAAAACACATGGCTTTTCGATATTTCCCAAAAGCAACCATCAAAAACCGATACTAGCAACCCCCCTCAAATACCATAAAAATAGACTTCCAAAAGCACGATCATGCAGGGGATGTTCCGCAGTAGCTGCTCCGTACAGGTGCGGAATTGCAAAAAACACTCCTTATTGCAAATTTGAACAGTCAAAGTATCACTGCGCTTGGCCCCACCCAAACCCCTAACAGGCCAATTCCAACATCGCTTGAAACAGCAAAACACAACTAGCATCTGCAAAAAAAACAAGACAAATTCATGGCAACAAGATAATCCTGATGATGCTGGGGGTGCAGATCCCGCGCGTCCGCCTAGAGACCTAGGCGAAACGCAGATGTTTAGGACGAAAGGCCCAAAAACACTGCACAAACACAGGGGTTGTGGCGCCTAGCGCAGCATGCCAAAAAAAAAGCAGTCCCAAAAGCCTTCGGCTTTGATAAGAGATTCTGAAGCAAGACAAAGTTGCGGACTGCCATCCACACGCTCGACTGGCGTCGGCGGATTTTGTTGGCTGTGACATGGTTCCTGGAGGGTTGAAGTTTGATTAGTACGGCCCCCTCACGCAGAAAGAATTCAGTTTGTCCTTGCGTCAAGTCCCCGCGCCGTTTGGCAACAGCAGATTGAGCAAACTCGACGCAGGTCTGATACGACAGCTCCATAGATTGAGAGCTGCAATAGGTCGTTCGAGTGGTTCGAGTGAGACCTTCTACGCATAAAACCAAATGCTTTCAGGCGCTTCTAGCACAAGCAAGGTGAAGAAGCGTGACTGTCGTCCACCTGTGCGACGGGCACCTGGTGAGCGGCAACTGCCTGGCGATAGTCAACAAAATGTGGTCACGGCTTGGCTTGAGCATGAACTGATGGGAAGCCAAGGCCTCTGCCAAATGACAAAGCTTCAAGTCGCCTGGGGAACAGTCCCGCGTGGAGCTCCCCACAAGAAAACAGGCGCCGCTGTAAAACGCTTGGCGCAAAGTCAAAGTTGTTGCGGCTGAGAGCCAGTTGCAGCAAAGTAGTGGGTTCTCGCCCTTGCAGCCAAGGCAAGGCCCATGCTTTCGCAGGCAAACTTATGACACTAGAAGGGCGCCTTAAAAGTAAATGAAGAGAGCCATTTGTAGTTCTTCAGCCCACATGCTTGAAAGAACCAAATCGCGAACGCCAGAAGAATTCGTCACTAGCTGAGACAAGGGTTCAAGATATGTGGCGGCACGACGAGACTGGAAACTGAATGCAACGCCATGGTGGTACGCACGCGATTCTTTTGCAACATGCCGACTTACTGGGCAGATCGCAAACTCACAGAGCAGGGCACACACACATTTGTATTTCCGTGCGCGCCCTCTACCAAAATGGTGAAAGGCATTCAACAATGCTGAGATGCGTCTCACAGTTCAACGCATGTCTGGCGAAAAGACGATGTGGACACAGCAGCGTCAGCATTCACTAGTTGCGCTCCCCTGCTCTTGCGCCTTGTAGTCTCCTGTTGAAAAACCTCACTTTTTCTTCCCCAAAAGCAAGCGCTCTCACCTCTCTAGTCAACATTTTGAACGGCGAAGCGCTTTGTTGATTGAGACATCTGATCCCAACAAAGGCAGCACCAGACACCAACTCAGCTAAGTCACCTACGGATCATTTCACAGGCCCACTCCTTTGCCAATGTCCCCCGCGCTGCCATGCAGATAGGACTCCGCTGTAGAGCCGCGCGTCCGCCACAGGCAGCCGCTCAGGCAGCAGCGCAAGCGCCTCTCTGATGACCGGAAGTGATGGAAAAACAAAATGCGCGAGCAGGTTCTTCGGTGGAGAACCATACATGCGATACGGCTGCACGTCCGCGCCCTGGACTTCCTAACGCAAAACTAAACCTATACTGTTCCACAAAAAAGGCACAGCGACATCGGCTAAGGCGTGACACCCTACACACTGTGCTAAAGAGCCACACCCCAACAACTGTTCAAGTTCAAGTTCGGCGGGATGCCCCCGACAGGGGGTGAGAATTAACCAGTATTGAACATCGAACAAACAGACTCCCGTTTGCCAGATCCCGCCAGGGAACAATTTTCATCACTTTAAAAACGCTACACCAACACTAAACCAATGCTTGGCAGCACCCCGCGTTTAAGCGGGATCACACGCAAACAAGGGGGGATAGAAATTGGGCTGGCCTTTGCCTAGCGCAGCGAAGCGGGGGAAGCACGAGCCCTGCCCGCAAAACATGACCAAGGCTGCCACAAGAGAAACGCGGAGCGGATTTTGGCCCTGCGCTTGCCTGACATGCTGCTTCATGGCTATCAAGTCTTGGTAACAGACTGAAAACACGAGGGTCTTTGTTGCCATTTGCAGCAAACCCTTGCCGGCGCCATAGCAGGTTGAGCGGGACTCGTGTCATGTGTGCAAAAACAAGGAAAAGACTTCAGAAGGGCCAGCGTTGCCCACCAATCATCACAGGGGCACGACCGCTTTGAAAGTAGTATTGCCACAGAACGTTGTCCCAAAATAGAGTACTCACCCTGGGTCGCTTCCTGGAAATGAATCCCAATAAAGAGCAAGTCAACAGCAACCCGGTTGGAAGACTACTGCCAAGTCTCCTGAAATTTGACCACGGCACAAACCCAAATCAAAAGCATTATTGCTAGACCTCCTTGGCTCCAACTCCAACAAAGGTCATTTCGAACGCTAAACCCGGCAAGACCGTCAACTTGCTAGTTAGGGGAGTTGGTAGAATCTTGCTATCGGCATGGGTTTTCCAGCGCGCTCAAGGTAGCCAAAGATGCAAATGCGAGATCTTCCAGGCGCTTCGAGAGCCAACCGGCTCCATGTTGGCTGCGCAGGCAAAACCTGCTGTAGCCAAACCATCCGCCACACGCATTTCATCTGACGAAAACAAGAAGCGCGGAACACAATGTGTCCAACGGGGGATTGGTTTCCTTTGCGTTACTCTTGCAAGCAGCCTAAAATAGGTTCCCACTTTGAGGTACGCGTGCGTTCTGCTCGTGAAAGCACCCGCCCAGGAACGCCTCCTGCCAGTGCTGGGCATTGCTACATGCCCTCACCGCTGTGGTGAAGCTGATGACCTTGGCATTGCCAAAGCGCACGCGTCAGGTGCGGGGCAACAAAACAACCGGTTCCTCATTTCTTAAAGAGAGGAGTCCTCTCTTGGTTCCTGAAGGAAATTCTGGTCGCCTGTCGCGCCCCATCCCCCTTCCTCTTTTACTTTCCAATGAATTATCGCATCTTACAATAAAGTCACCATGTCACACTGCGCACCCTGCGTGGTGCACATGTTTGGAGACACACGCCTGCCTGCTTCACTCAATGGTGAGGCTTCAGGCGGACAAAGCATGATTCGGCCCAAACACACACGGCCAATGTTGCTGCCCTGCCAATTCAAGCTTGCGTTGCCCTGCTGCGCCTAAATCTCCAAGCACCCCGCGTCTGGCAAAAGCGCAAGGGCTGAGAAGGTCGTGAAGACTTCCAGCGCCTCCGCAGCAGACACACATTGGTTGACAAGGCGGGCAAAACCCAAAAAATCCGCCAACCTCCATGTTCTACAGGGCGCAAACATCGAAAAGGCTGGGTTAAGCAGTGGACACTATGCCTGGAATTGTTGGCGAAACTAAACCTTGTAGGAGCACGCTGTATCCCTCAGACATGTTGGACGGGAAGCCAGAGCCAACGTGGAAGTTTGATTCGCAGAAGGATGCACGTTGCGGCGGGTTGCCTTGGCAGTGTGGGGCTGGCCACGGAGACTACATGCATCTACCAGGAAGCGTCGGCTCAGTTTTCCTCAGAATCTGGCCGTCTGCCACTTGGCTGCTTCTGCGCAAGCGCTGAGCGCCGTGTTGCAGGCGATCTGGTCCGGGCCTCGAAGGGGCCACTTGACAAGGAAGCGCGCGGAAACCAAACCAACGCAGGGGTGGCATGCCTGTGTTACACAGCCCTGGGTAGTCTAGTCCCTAGTTCCTTGCGTAGGGTTATAAAGTAAGGTGGGGTCTTCGGACATTTCTCGATTTTTTGAGCGTGTCCTCATTGCTTCGCTCTTCGTCTTTTTGGCAGAAGGTTGCCCGTTCCGTTGTCACCGTCCAGGCCTAGGTGGAAGCATGCGCCTCCTCGGTACGTTAGTTTCTCAGGTCGACGCTTGAGCTGTTTGGCTTCGCCCTGCGCCAGCCTGCTTTTTACAGCTCGCGGAGGCGACAGGCGCCCTCCGGTTTGCGGTCGGGGCCGCTGGCCAGCGGCGTAGGTAGCATCACCATGATAATGTTGGACCTGCTTCATGAAAATCCTGAAAGCCTGAGTAGGACTTGGGCTTGCCAGCGTGCCAATTCTACTTTTGCCAGGGCTGACTCTCAGACTCCCAGCACTTAATTTGAATTCGACTTTAGCATTGGCTCTCAGATTTGCAGCACTTGCCCTAGCACTGCCACTTCTACTTTAGTATTAAGTTTTTCAGCAACCCCCAAAAAGGTTTGATAGCAAAGAGGAACAAGCGCATTCAATAGAATCATTACCTTTCAATAAAGAAGTTATCTTAAGTTTGGTGGTTTGGGGACCAATGGCAAGATGGACTTCCTTGATCCAAGGCCCTCACCCGTTGCGCTGGGAAGAGCTAGGGTAGGCGAAGAGGCTTGGCGCTGCGCGCGGAAAACGTGCGAACCCCGCAGAGCGGAAAAAAACAACCAAATGTGCGGAAAAACAAAGCACAGTCTCTGCGGAAAAAGCGGACCCCTCCTGAAAGGGGGCCGTGATGAAGGTTGTCTTGGGGATCCGCTTTTCGAGCTGGAATCCGGCATTCCAGCTCGAAAAGCGGATCCCCAGCCAATCCCTCCTGAAAGGGGGCCGTGATGAAGGTTGTCTTGGGGATCCGCTTTTCGAGCTGGAATCCGGCATTCCAGCTCGAAGAGCGGATCCCCAACCAATCCCTCCTGAAAGGGGGCCCGATGAAGGTTGTCTTGGGATCCGCTTCGAGCTGGAATCCGGCATTCCAGCTCGAAAAGCGGATCCCTGCCAATCCCTCCTGAAAAGGGGGCCGTGATGAAGGTTGTCTTGGGGATCCGCTTTTCGAGCTGGAATCCGGCATTCCAGCTCGAAAAGCGGATCCCCAGCCAATCCCTCCTGAAAAGGGGGCCGTGATGAAGGTGGTCTTGGGGTAGCCGCTTTTCCGAGCTGGAATCCGCAATGCCGGATTCCACTCGAAAAGCGGATCCCCAGCCGGCGGGCTCGTGATGAGTTGTCTTGGATGCCGCTTTCAGCTGGAATCCGCAATTCCAGCTCGTAAGCGGAGCCCCGCCCAATCCCCCCTGAACGGGGGGGCCGGGATGAAGGTAGTCTTGGGGATCCGCTTTCGAGCTGGAATCCGCAATCCAGCTCGAAAAGCGGATCCCCGGCCACTCCCATCCTGAAAGGGGGCCGTATGAAGTTGTCTTGGGGATCCGCTGGTCGAGCTGGAATCCGGCTCGAGCTGGAATCCCGGCATTCCAGCTCGAAAAGCGGATCCCCGGCCAATCTCCTGAAAAGGGGGGCCGTGATGAAGGTTGTCTGGGGATCCGCTTTTCGAGCTGGAATCCGGCATTCCAGCTTGAAAAGCGGATCCCCGGCCAATCCCTCCTGAAAAGGGGGCCGTGATGAAGGTTGTCTCGAGCTGGAATCCGGCATTCCAGCTCGAAAAGCGGATCCCCGGCCAATCCCTCCTGAAAGGGGGCCGTGATGAAGGTTGTCTTGGGGATCCGCTTTTCGAGCTGGAATCCGGCATTCCAGCTCGAAAAGCGGATCCCCAGCCAATCCCTCCTGAAGGGGGCCGTGATAAGATTGTCTTGGGATCCGCTTTTCAAGCTGGAATCCGGCATTCCAGCTCGAAAAGCGGATCCCCGGCCAATCCCTCCTGAAAGGGGGCCGTGATGAAGGTTGTCTTGAGATCCGCTTTTCGAGCTGGAATCCGGCGTTCCAGCTCGAAAAGCGGATCGCGTGATGAAGGTTGTCTTGGGATCCGCTTTTTCGAGCTGAATCCGGCATTCCAGCTCAAAAAAGCGGATCCCCGGCCAATCCCTCCTGAAAGGGGGCCGTGATGAAGGTTGTCTTGGGGATCCGCTGTTCGAGCCGGGCCTCCTGAAAAGGGGGAGCGTGCCCCGGCCAATCCCTCCTGAAAAGGGGGCCGTGATGAAGGTTGTCTTGCAATCTGGAATCCGGCATTGCAGCTCGAAAAGCGGATTCCAGCTCGAAAAGCGGATCCCCGGCCAATCCCTCCTGAAAGGTGGTCGTGATGAAGGTTGTCTTGGGGATCCGCTTTTCGAGCTTCCCAGCTCGGAAAGCGGTATCCCCAGCCATCCGCCTGAAAAGGGGGCCGTGATGAAGGGGGGCTTGGGGATCCCTTTCCAAAGCTGGAACCCTGGCCCGGCATTCCAGCTCGAAAAGCGTGATCCCCGGCCCAATCCCTCCTGAAAGGGGGTCGTGATGAAGGTTGTCTTGGGGATGGATGGCCGCTTTTCGGTGTGTATCTGTGACTTTGTTTACCTCCCCGAGATGACTGGGGTACATATGTAGATCAGCGGTAACGATCCCGGCATTCCAGCTCGAAAAGCGGAGGCGCTAGGAATATCACAGAGGGGGGGGGGGGGGGGGCGGCCATCCCTCCTGAAAGGGGGCCGTGATGAAGGTTGTCTTGGGGATCCGCTTTTCGAGCTGGAATCCGGCATTCCGGCTCGAAAAGCGGATCCCCAGCCAATCCCTCCTGAAAAGGGGCCGTGATGAAGGTTGTCTTGGGGATCCGCTTTTCGAGCTGGAATCCGGCATTCCAGCGCTAAAAGCGGAGCCCCGGCCAAGCCCTCCTGAAAGGGGCCGTGAATGAATGTTGTCTTGGGGATCCCTTGTCGTGCTGGAATCCGGCATTCCAGCTCGAAAAGCGGATCCCCGGCCAATCCCTCCTGAAAGGGGGCCGTGATGAAGGTTGTCTTGCAATCCGCTTTTCGAGCTGGAATCCGGCATTCCAGCTCGAAAAGCGGATCCCCGGCCAATCCTTCCTGAAAGGGGGCCGTGATGAAGGTTGTCTTGCAGATCCGCTTTTCGAGCTGGAATGCCGGATTCGAGCTTTTTTGAGCTGGAATCCGGCATTCCAGCTCGAAAAGCGGATCCCGGCCAATCCCTCCTGAGAGGTGGTCGTGATGAAGGTTGTCTTGGCTCAAAAAGCGGATCCCCGGCCAATCCCTCCTGAAAAGGGGGCCGTGATGAAGGTTGTCTTGGGGATCCGCTTTTCGAGCTGGAATCCGGCATCCCAGCTCGAAAAGCGGATCCCCGGCCAATCCCTCCTGAAAAGGGGGCCGTGATGAAGGTTGTCTTGGGGATCCGCTTTTCGAGCTGGAATCCGGCACTCCAGCTCGAAAAGCGGATCCCCGCCCAATTCCCTCTGAAAAGGGGCCGTGATGAAGTTTTTCTGGTGATCCGCTTTTCGATGCTGAAACCGGCTACCCACACGAAAAGCGGATCCCCGGCATAGCCAAACCCGCCTGAAAAGGGTTCGTGAATGAAGGTTGGGTTGGAATCCGCTTTTCGAGGCTGGAATCCCGGCAATTCCACGCGAAAAGCGGATCCCCAGGCCAATCCCTTTAAAGGGGGCATGCCTGGGTGTCTTGGGGAATCCGCTTATAATATAAGGGCGGCACAACCCGACACCGTCAAAAAAGGGGAAACCCGAAAAGGGGGCCGTGGATGATGGTTGTTGTTGGGGATCCGCGTTTCGAGCTGGAATGCCGGATTCCAGCTCGAAAAGCGGATCCCCAGCCAATCCCTCCTGAAAGGGGGCCGTGATGAAGGTTGTCTTGAGGTTTCGAGCCGGAAACCGGCAGTCCAGCTCGAAAAGCGGATCCCCAGCCAATCCCTCCTGAAAGGGGGCCGTGATGAAGGTTGCCTTGGGGATCCGCTTTTCGAGCTGGAATCCGGCATTCCAGCTCGAAAAGCGGATCCCCGGCCAATCCCTCCTGAAAGGGGGCCGTGATGAAGGTTGTGTTGGGGATCCGCTTTTAGAGCTGGAATCCGGCATTCCAGCTCGAAAAGCGGATCCCCAGCCAGCCAAAACCCTCCGTGAAAGAAAGGTTGTCTTGGGGATCCGCTGAGCTGGAATCCGGCATTCCAGCTCGAAAAGCGGATCCCCGGCCAATCCCTCCTGAAAGGGGGCCGTGATGAAGGTTGTCTTGGGGATCCGCTTTTTGAGCTGGAATCCGGCATTCCAGCTCGAAAAGCGGATCCCCGGCCAATCCCTCCTGAAAGGGGGCCGTGATGAAGGTTGTCTTGGGGATCCGCTTTTCGAGCTGGAATCCGGCATTCCAGCTCGAAAAGCGGATCCCCGGCCAATCCCTCCTGAAAGGGGGCCGTGATGAAGGTTGTCTTGGGGATCCGCTTTTCGAGCTGGAATCCGGCATTCCAGCTCGAAAAGCGGATCCCCGGCCAATCCCTCCTGAAAGGGGGCCGTGATGAAGGTTGTCTTGGGGATCCGCTTTTCGAGCTGGAATCCGGCATTCCAGAAAAGCGGATCCCCGGCCAATCCCTCCTGAAAGGGGGCCGTGATGAAGGTTGTCTTGAGGATCCGCTTTTCGAGCTGGAATCCGGCATTCCAGCTCGAAAAGCGGATCCCCGGCCAATCCCTCCTGAAAGGGGGCCGTGATGAAGGTTGTCTTGGGGATCCGCTTTTCAAGCTGGAATCCGGCATTCCAGCTCGAAAAGCGGATTCCCGGCGAAGGTTGTCTTGGGGATCCGCTTTTCGAGCTGGAATCCGCCCTAGAAAGGAGCCCTAGAAAGGAGCTTATAAAGGAGCCTTAGAAAGGAGCCCTAGAAAGGAGCCCTAGAAAGTAGCTTAGAAAGGAGCCTCAGAAAGGAGC